ATGGCCTCTAAAAGCCCCTTCTCAATTACATTATTCTAATGTAAAATAATTGAGCACTAACCCATTAATTTAATCTAATTAATTTGATCCAAATCAATTTTCAATTAAATCTCACCGTAGGCTCTAAAAATTACACCAATTACAATGGCGCAGTCAATTTCGGGTTCTGTGGCCGATAAGGCCTTCAATTTAATTTCGAAAGCAGATAATCCAACAGATATTCCTACGGTGAACAAATAGAAATTCAAAACCACATATATTCACATAATTGGCACACAAAATCATATCAGATACATAATCAAATTCATAATAAGGACCAATTAGCATGATATCACAGTTGCATTTAGTCATATTGTATTAGTTAAGAGCATGCATGTTTTCCTAATCATTTTGCTTTGTTTGGCTTGCCTTGGAGTACTAGGTGAGAATTTATTATTTTAGCATCTTGCATCGAATGTTTGTGTTGCCATGTCGAGCATGTTTTTCATGAGACTAATTGCTTAAATAATATATATATTTGAATGCCTGTGGATGAAAGCTAATTGCTTAAATTGGGATATTTGATGAATGTACACACAAGCTCGCTTTTTTCAAGTGACGAGTATCCAAAACAATTTTCAAAAACAAACATGAAATCAAATGTTCTAATCTTTGCAAATTATTCTATACTTATATGCGTCACATAGTAATGTTAGTCTAATAATCGGAACAAGAGCATATAATGTAAATAAAAATCAAATCATGATTAGTAGATGCAGATCTTTGATTGGGCGAGTGGGGTGCTCAATTCATGACCTTTCTAAATCCCGAGCCGAAATACTTTGTTGATGACGGATAAGTGGCCTTTGGCACGAGTTTCAAGTTTCCTAAATTGTCCAAAAATATTTAGGTGGCAACTCTGAAATCTGGTAAAGCAGTCCATTTTTAGAATTTGATTCAAACATCGATTTTTCAAAAGAATTGCCGGATTTGGACTCTTTTTGTGTTTTCACTGTTTCACATTGCACTTTGTGAAATCAGTTTCAGAATCACGGGAATTCGAATTGTAGGGCTAGTCGTATCCGAAAGGAGCACGAAAAGCAAACTACACTTTTTTTCTGTTTGGTGAGCTTAACACAGACCCGACTTCCGACATGATGATTCCGGCCCACCCTGAGGATTTTGCTCCACTCTCTGACCTTGAGCCTGCTCCACTCCTGCTCACAGGCCTAGACGCGTTCTCATGCACCCCCCCAACTCACACAAACTCACACCATTCACAGAAAGTTTTTTATATAATAAGAAAGCCTAATACGGCTGGTGTGAGTTCACTGTTCTCCATTACAAAATGCCTCGCCAAGCCTCTTTTTATTTCTATACAAAAAATATTTTACTCACATACCCACAATGCCTTTGCCCAAAAGAATAACTCTTAGATCTCTTGCAATCACTTCTCCAACTAGCCTGCCTACCATACTACATACTCATCACAAGCGAGCTCCACGAAAATGGAAACCTCCATGCAATGGTGCAATGCATAAAAACAATCTAAACCTCCAATCATAGATTTTTCGATCTCACAGGAACCAACGGGAGGATTTACCATCCAAATATAGAAAAACTCTATTCTCAGCAAGTTGACAATATATACAAAAATGAGGCGATTTTATAGAACGAGGACAATTTTCATCCAATGGAAAAGTCCTTCAAAAAACAGAGATGAACTTTGGTAGGGAATTCTTGTAGAAGAAGAAACAGAGGAACAATTCTTTGCATTGTACAAAGAAAGATGTCCCACCGATTACGTCGGAAAATACTCCCAATTAATAAACATTTTCAAGGGATCATTACAGATGAGAGAGGCCCCCATATATAAGCCCCTTTAGTTCATTTCCTTTTCTTAATAAAGAAGTAAAAAATTAGGCAGAAATTAATATTTTGTTCGTAAGTCAAAATTTTGTAAAATACGAGTTATGTCAAAATTGTTATCTCTTCGTTCATAGTGAGGACAACTAGATTAGACTAGGGATACACAAAAATAATAAACACGATTTACATACTAACGAAGAACTCTCCTCATTCTCTGACAACATGAACTAGAACAGTGGCCTATCCACCCAATCTCCCTCTACTTCGAAGGACCTTCGAGAACAAGAAAAACCACCTAGGCCAGAAGTTTCGGATGACACAACTACTTCTCCGGCAGAATAAGTTTTAAGGACTATGATCAAGACGCCGTCTACAACGTCATAGACAATATCAAATACTCGATAGTCCCAACTGAACTAATGAAAAATCTAGTTGGATGCTAGAGAGACTTACATGTATTCATTAAATTTTAACCAGATCTCACCATTAGATGAGGAATTTCTTATATTATATTAACTAATGGGGACAGTGGTTGGTTAGATGCGATGTCCCAAAAAATGAGAGAATGGTTAATGTAAATGTAACCACTGTAATGATTAATGAAAATTTTATTAATTTTATTTATGTAAGCATTCAAACTATCATTTACTTATTACATTTCCATTATTATCAACAACGACATCGTCATTCTTCTTTACACTCATGATTACATTTAGTAAAATATTGAAAAATTCTAGATCGTCCATAACGACAGACCATCTTTTATCAACTTCGTCTTTTCTAGCAGCACCAACATCCGAAATCGACAGGTCACGATCAACATCACTAGCACCATTATCACCTCTGCGCACATCAATCTCGGATAAGCTAAGATGACCTGTCACTTCATACGATAATATGTTACTAGTGGCACTGTTTGACTTATCTTTGTTACCTTTGTCGATCAGACAGCCGACATCTTTACTAAGGCTCATCCTCCAGGACGCTTTCTGGACTTACTTTCTAAGTTCAAATTGATATATGCATTACCACCTTAAGCTTAAGGGTGAGTGTTAGCTGTATATGTCTATATTATAATATTGTGCATTACCATATGGTGTTTTACTATTTTAGTTTCTCCTTCTCCTTCTCCTATATAAAAGTCTTGTACTCTCTCTCTCTCTCTCTCAAAATAAAGCCATACAACCAAATACCAAAGGCAAGTGAAAGATACATAATTTTGATACCAAACAACAAATAAATATAATAAAACAAAAATATCTCTCTCACAATAAAGCCATACAACCAAATAACAAAGGAAAGTGAAAGATACATAATTTTGATACCAAACAACAACAAAAAAATATGTATAATAAAACAAAAAAATCATACACTTTGGTAATGATATTTTTGCAATAGACACGGAAAATAAATGACAAATCAACCATACTAAAAAAAAATCGGTGGAATTGCATAAACATCTTTAATCTCCTATTAACCTTACAATGTAATCTCTACTATTATAATATGAGATATTTATTTATTAATAATACTGGGGGGATGACGGGCAGATGACGGGTGGGGACTAAAATCCTCTCAAACTTTTGAATATTTTGAAAAGAATTTTAGATTTTGTTTTATCCAAAATGTATATAATTTTTTTTTTCAAAATTTTGAATTATTTCATTACTTTCATGCAATTTTCAGTATTTATAAAAATAAACAAGCATTTTAGTGGCTTAAACTTTTGAAAAGTTTCATTATTTTCATGAAAGTTTGATATTTTATAAAACAAATTGACAATTTAGCCGCCAAAGTCTATACAATTTTATTTCAATTTCTCTAAAATTTTAGATAATTTGTACTTTAACTTCTTTTCACAATTTCTAAATTCGGTTTCCCACGACTTTGGACAAGAGCTTTTATTTACACACCATGTACTATCTCAGTTCACAATATTTTTTAATTACCATTTTACCCTTCAAGAAAATTATCAACAAGGATAGCGGGGTGGCTAGCGGTGATTAGGGTTAAGGCTTTGGTGCCGGTAATGGAAGTGGCGGCAGTGGACAATGATTTATGATTAGCATTAGGGTTAGTGGAAGAATGATGACTAATAGGATGTTTTAGGAATTTTGTGATATGAATTGAAGAAAAGATAGGATTTTTTTTTTTGGGTATGTGACGTGAACTAAGTAATCGCGTGAGATAAGAAAATGGTGTGTAAATAGAGGCTCCTACATTGGACACCTAAATTGAATCCAAAATTAGGTAAGTTACACCTTGCTCTCATTAATTTGATTATTTTTTACTTTGGCCTTTTATTATTTCAAATTGTTTCTAGTTTCTCTTATAGTTAACTTATATTTAAAACTATACAGAAAATGCCACTACCACCACATAACATAAAAAAGAATAATTATATTGAGGCTTTATTTGGGATAAATTAAAAAAGTTAAAAAATCAAAAAGTTACTAAAAAAATTAAAAAATCTATACAATTCAAGGGTAGCTTGTGGGATAAGCCACTAGTGCAAAATAATTTTTTCCTTTGAATTCAACTAATCCAAAAGTTAAAAAGTCAAAAGGGTAAAATGGTCATTTTGATATTATTACAATATTTTATTACACATATTTTCATAAAAAGTCAAAAAGTTATTCCAATTATATATTTTTTTCTTTATTTTTTTAATCAAAAAATACACTTATATAGCACATCCCAAACAACTATTGAGATGTGAATTTATATTAGAGATGTGAGTTATACATAATAAAATATTTTTATGTCTTGTAATATGTGTCACTTCCTATCTAATTTTAAATATAATATAGTTTTTAGAGTAAATTGAAAAGCAAAAAAAAATTGACAAGAGTTAAAGTGAAAACAAAAAAATTAAAATTAAAAACTAAAAAATGACTAATATAAACAAGACAATGTAATGTAAGACTCTTTTCAAAACAATAAAATTAAGTTCTTTATAAGTTTATTTGTATGATATCACGTCTTTATTTTTTTACATCTCTTTTTATAATAAATAAAAAAAATTAACTTATAAATCATATCCAAAATAGTCCTTACCCTTCCAAAATTGCTACAATTTATATCAAAATTCAATGAATTTATACCCAAGTGTACTTTAGATTTGATTCAATTAATCAGTCATACCCAAGAAAAGACCTATTTTGCTCTAAACTCCTATATTTTCGTACCCAAATATCTCTCTCTCTCTCTCTCTCTCTCTCTCTCATAAAGCAGTTGAATTCACATGCATATATAGATCACCGCGTAACAGTCTCTCCCTCTCTCTCAATCTTCACAAGAACCCCGCTTAAACCCTATCGCTCTCCTCTCCTTTTCTCTCTCTCTCCACTTTTTCTCTTCTTGCTCAAGAAAACCATTCAAAACCAAGAAATCTCACAAACCTATCTCTGAAAATCAATCCATGGCTCAAGAAATCGAAAAACCCAGAAAGGTTCAGTACCCACACGACTCAACCTGTTATAAAATCACCGATGAGATCGGCCGAGGAGTGAGTGCAATCGTATACAAAGCCATATGTATTCCGAACTCGACTGTCGTAGCGATCAAATCAATCGATCTCGATCGATCTCGAACCGAACTCGAAAGCGTTCGTTTAGAAGCCAAGATAATGTCGCTTCTCTCTCATCCCAACATTCTCAGAGCTCATTGTTCATTCATGGTGGATCATCGTCTTTGGGTAGTCATGCCTTTCATGTCCTCTGGTTCTCTTCAATCGATCATGACTTCTTCGTTCCCAGATGGTTTATCTGAGCCTTGCATTGCTGTGATTCTCAGAGAAACTTTGAATGCTCTGTCTTATCTTCATAATCAAGGTCATCTTCATAGAGACATCAAGGCTGGGAACATTCTTATTGATTCAAATGGGTCTGTGAAGCTCGCTGATTTCGGAGTTTCCGCGTCGATTTATGAATCGAATTCGGGGAAAGGGTCGAATTCGGGTACCAATTCGGCGTCTGGGAGGCTCACTGATCTCGCCGGAACACCGTATTGGATGGCACCGGAGGTAAACAATTCTCAATCTACTCTCGTTTTTCAAATAGCTAGAATTACAAAACAACATATAATATCATAGTTTCTTACGCTTTAGGTAGAAAATATTTTCCATATATTTTTGTATTTATTTGGTATAATGAAAAATGTATTTGAATAAAAAACAAATATATTTAAATAGTAAATATATTTTTCACTTTGTGGGTGTTTATGGAGTGGGTTTTAAGTAGGTTTTTTAGTTGTAGGATATTATTGGAGAATTTTTTTTTTTTTTTATGTTCGAAAAGATAGGTGGATTTTTTTTTATAGTTTGATGTAGTGTTTATGAAAGAAAAAGTGAAATAATTATGAAATTGTATATCATATTTTGTTTGGATTTATTTTTTTTTTTTATTTTGTAAAACTTTGTCTTTTAATAGAAAAAATAAAAAAAAAAAAAACCAACAAAAAATCTTGCCAAACACTACCTTTTAGAAAATCATTTTCGAGATTAAAATCTTACTAATATCACTACATAGCCACAGTCATCAACACTGTCATCATGGCCGCCCACCATCACCACCATCACCACCACCACCAAACATACAAATAAAAAAAATAAAAAAAAATTAGTAAAAAATATTTTTCGCACAAATAAACCAAAAGGTGGTTACACACTCACATCGATTTGATGTAGTAACTCTCAAATTACTTCCAACAGGTGATTCACTCTCATACTGGGTATAGTTTCAAGGCTGACATATGGTCTTTTGGAATCACTGCTCTTGAATTAGCCCATGGAAGACCTCCTCTGTCTCACCTCCCTCCTTCAAAGTCCCTGATAATGAAGATCACCAAGCGTTATCGATTCTCCGATTACGAAAGGGCCAAGAACAGCAAGAACAAGAAGTTTTCCAAGAATTTCAAGGACATGGTGGGTTTGTGTCTCGATCAAGACCCATCAAAAAGGCCCTCCGCTGAGAAATTGCTGAAACATTCATTCTTCAAGAACTGTAAAAACTCTGATTTCCTATCCAAGAATCTTTTGGTGGGTTTGCCGAGTGTTGAACAGCGATTTAGGGAAATCAAGCTTCAGAGACTCGAGTCGATGAATTGCAGAAGTGCCGATGGTGATGATGAAGACGACCAAGTGTTTTTAATCGGTGGTGTGACTGTGAAACAGAGGAGGATCAGTGGGTGGAACTTCAATGAAGATGGGTTTGAATTAGACCCTGTTTTTCCAGTGAGTAAGGAAGACAATGAAATTGACAATGATATTGTGAAACAAGTCCGATTTGGCGGCGAAACCATCATTCGAGACAGGGGAGGAGAGTCAGAGAAGTTGAATTTACAGACCCAACTGGCTGATGGTGAGATTGGTGGTGGTGGTGGTGGATCAGTGGATAGGGACGTGATGATGGGGAGTTTGATGTTTCTGAAGAAGAGTTTGGATGATCAGAGGCAAAAAGTGATGAACATGATTGATATGATCAATGGGGAAGAGAATGTGGAAATGAGCAGAGAATTACAGTTGATGCAAGTGATTGAGAATCTGAAGATGGAATTGGAGAATGTGAAGAAGAGGAACTTTGAATTGGAGATGGAATTGGGGGTTTCTCAGTTAACAGCAAAACAACAGTCCCTCTGATTTTAAGATGGTTCCATGGAAATGAAATTCATAGCATAGGCAGTGGAGTTGGAATTAGATCATGAATGTAGTATGGAGTTGTGACACTTTACTCTATGATGCTCTGTTTTGTAAGTCCATTCATTCAATAGTTGGAATGGGCTTATTTGAAAGATTGGCATTGCCAAAGATACTATATGTTTTGGAAAAATAAATAAAGATGGTTGATTAGGTACAGTTGGATTTAATTAATTTTAGTTTATTGTGATGCGGAAGCTGAATTTGGGTTAGTGGGATAGTGGGTTTGATTAGGACTTTGCTATAGCTTTCATGATCCAATTAAATTCAACTGAACTAGGAACACTACCACAATTGTGCAATTGAAGCTATGTTAAATGTAGGGAGATCTGACACAATGTCAAGTGCAATTGAAATTTTGTTATGTATACATAAATCTAACACAAAAAAGTGTCAAGTGCCTAAATGTTGGTGCGCATTCTTGCCAAGTGCCCAAGTGTTAGTACCCATACCAAATGTTAAAGTGAGTTTTCTAATAATATTAAGGATATTAATAAACCTATCAAATTCATGTATCTTAATCAATGCATTTGTTAATATTTATTGATATTTGTTAGTATTTTTAGCATGAAAGTTTACTTTGTTACTTCGCTAATGAATGAGTATGATCTTTCATTTCAATTGACTACCCTTTAGAAAAAAACAAAAGATATCCAGCTATGATTTATGTATCTGTTTCACATTGATAATGACATTATTTTAAGTGCATGCATCAACTTTCAAATTTCATTGAACAACTTTAGGTGCATTATCTCATTTTGTGGTTTGATTCATTGTAGTGGGGTTGTTATGCATGGTCTCTAAACATAGAGCTGCATAGGCTTCACAATTATACAAACCAGCAAATGCTTGATTGGGTTATAAACACTGAAAGGTTGCACTTTGGTTCAAAAAGTTTCCACACTATTGGATTCTCTCTCTTGAGTGGAATATTCTGTTTAAATTCTCATTTGTTTCAACTTAGTTGCTTAGCACATAACAGGTCTTTCTAACTAATCATGTGGTGAAGGGTTTTGAAACTGTTAAGAATTGAAGAACCCTTAATCAAGATCGGTGATGCATGGAAATGGACAAGAACCAATATATAAAGATTATAAATCACACACAAAAATATAAGATTTACGTGATTTACTCCAAAACTAAGACTATATCAACGGTCATTATGGTTTCACTATGTTTACAAAGAGTTATAAGCGAGATACAGAGATCGCCTTCCCTTCAACTACAAATAAATATAATTAAGGTTATAGATTGTTAGTGCATAATTACCAAACTATCCTTAATCCAAGTTCAATTTGCGGTCGAGTCATTTGTGCCTACTTTTCCGCCTTAATAAAATTGGAGAAACAAAAAATATATTAACAGAATAAACCCCTTATTCTTCTTTTTTATTTTGTTTCTTTTGTAAATCTTTATACAAATATAAGATTCATACACGTCCCAATAAAATTGTGCATACCAGAAGTTAATGAGACCCCATGGATCAAACAACTTCACCGTAAAGAAGAAAAAAGATTTACACATCGATAGAAATTAAATATGCAGTCTTTGCAAATAAAGTATTGGAAAAATTCAATATATTTTTAATATCGACTTACAATCCACAGCTTAGAAATAAAACATGGGTCGAACTCTATTTTAGTGTCAATGTAATAGCTATGAATAGTTATAGGCTTCGGAGAAAGAATAAAACAATGAGACCAACTCTAGGCCACAAAATAGTATGATCAATACATTTCAATAGAGTTTTCATTTCCTCCTCTTAGGAAGAAAAGAACTTAAATAAAAATACAATAGCATCGTGATACATTAATACAAATGTTCTAATCCAACTACTTGATCTACTTGTCACCAATATATGAGAATAGGAGATCCCCAAAATAAGAAAATCATGGAAATCACAGCGGACAAAATAGAAACAGAAATTGGAACCTTACCCTTATCTTTCCTCACCACCATCCCTTCAACAATAGGGTAGCTCATAGATACAATGAAAAATGACAAACCAACTTGCATAAACATCTCATTGAAACTTCCATTGATACCCATCCTAGTAACTCCTTCAAACAAGGATACTAGGTTTAGAATCACCAAGGTAACCACTGGAACAATCAACATGTTTGATGCTTGGAAATCGAATTTACCCATTTGGTATCTCTTGAGTTGCTCATCGTCAATGGCTTTATTGGTTGGTAGAAAACTGGCTTCTCTCATACCCATTCTCTTCATGAAAGCATCCAAACTTCCATAGAGATGACTTGTGACTGACCTTATCATCCACATTCTCTGTTCATTGCTCCATGTTTGGATCGAACCTCCAGTTGAGAGGATCTCTTGGATGTGTTTGGACTGGGATGAGGGGAAAATGTGTAACAATTTCACTCTTTGAACACAGAATATAGATGTTCCAAAAAAATTTATAAAATTTATTGGTAAGATCCACAACCTAAAACATCTTATCCATCCATATACACGTGTAGTTCTGTATTGTTAAATTTATTCAACGTGTCTAACACTACAATCGATTTTTGAATTGTTAAATTTATTAAATTTGTCTTGTAGTAATAATAAGCAAGTTAGTACACAAATTGCTAATTGCACAGCAATGAATCAGAAACACTTGTATTGAATAGAGATAGGGGTTATGGGGCTCTCTCTCAAATTTATTCAATTTTCTTGATCAAATTTTATCTAACAATTTTTTTTAATAGAATTAAAATGGAAACAATAGTGTTATGCAAACAGAATTTTATTGTGATCACATACGACTATTATTATGATAATAATTTAAAAATATGTCACAGTCACATCATTTTAGAAGCACATTCCATATAAAAAAAATCTTGTGATTATTTAGCATTTTTCAAATGAAAATGCTGTGGACACAACACATTTTCTACACCCGTAACATTTTCAAAAATAAAATTATAAGATTTGTTAGCATACATAATATTACTCTATCCGAAATCAAAATTATGCAAAAGAGAGAAAGCGAATGCATATCTTGGGTTACAAACTAACATCAGGGTATAACCATTGAGCAGATAGAGCTGAGGAATGGTTGCAAAGCACCACAATGGGATGAAATTGAAAGGAAAGAAGGCAAGCTCTGCATAGCACATTCTCTCAAGAGCAGACATCTGCTTCTCCTTCTGCTTTGGGCAATGTAGAAGAGGACAGAACCTTGAGATAGCAACTTCAACCAAACCAGAACCCCATCTGGTGGTCTGAACCAACACATCACTCAGATTTGTGGTGCCTGAGCCCAAAAAAGCTGGCCTTGCTGGGTTACAATACACTGAAATCCAACCTTTGCCATGCAAATTAATAAAATCTGTGAAGTAGTCTTCCACCACTGAGAAATACAAAAAGCCCACCTGCATATTGGAGCAAAGAAGAAAGCATACTATAGTTTCATAGTTCAAAAGAATCTCGAAAATGAACAAGAGGTCCACATACCCAAAAAATAGACTACAAAATTATCTAGAATTTACAATTTAAGGCCAAGTTTCATTCATGAATTGGCCCCATAATAAGAAGGTGAAATCTACACCCTACATTTAATATTCCAGATAATTTTTTGGTTTGTGTCTAGATATGGACTTTCTACGAAAAAGAATGTGATCTTAGATATAACCTCGATCACACCAAATTTGAATCTACATCACACATTTTATTTTTGAAATATTTTTTTTGGTAAATGGATTTGTCTCCAATATCTTATGGAACTTGATCCGTACAGTTTGGGCTTGTGTGACCATTATGGGCCATAATGTGATCATCCAAATCATTCATCATATTTACATATGTGTGAAAAAATCAGATTAATTCAATAATTATAATTACATAATTTTAACATATTTCTCTTTAAAAAAAAAACATTATTTATTTTCAAAATCATGATTATTGTCTATTTTTTCAAAAAAAATAAAATAATTAATATTGATTATCAAATCCAAAAAAAAAAATCATAGGTAATCTACACATTAATTTACGAATTTGAACAGATCAAATTATCACATGTGAGCCCTAATTACACCCATCCTGATCACTTAGTGGATTTTTTTTTGTTTTTTTCCTGCGAGTCAATAGCTTTTCTACATATTTACTTAAAAAATAAAATGTGTGAACAAGATTCATTATGAGAGTCACACGACCAAATTTCAATCAACAGAATACACAACTTTCTTGACACTTTTTCTAAGTTGGTAGCTTTTGCGAAGTAGAAAATGTGGAGGGGATTTGTTGTTTTAGGACGTGTACTTGCCTCTTTGCCCCATTTGGTTTGATTTTCATAAGCCCACGATGCTAAAATTTGGGTTTCTTTGAACAACATTGCATTCGAAAAGTCACCGTGATTCAGCTTGTAATGCCGGCCAAGAGATTTGATGAAGTCTTTGGAAGAGCCGAAATACTGTTTACTTTTCATGATATCAACATCTGAAAATTAATGAGAATGTAATTAGAGATTTAAATAGCTATTACGTAGAAATATTAAACAGTGATTTGAAGTTGTTTTGTCACGGGTGATTATTCAGTACTCCCGGAGTATACACGTGGTGCTCCATAAGGTTCTGATTGGTGGAGAGACACAAGGGCCCACGATTTATGTTGGAGATGGGAGGACAACATGGGACTAACTAATTGGTGATTGGTTTGGAGTATGAACACGTGGTGCTCCGGGAGTATTGAATAATTTTCCTTTTGCCACATGCTCTTATGTTCTAAACTAGTGGTCACCCGTGCGATGCACAGGATTTTAGAAAGTCAATAATTACTATAAAAAAATTTGCTATTTGTTTATATTTCTTAATATTTTTATTTGGTTTGTGTATATAAATCTTATTTCACATCATTAAAAATATTTAATATTTCACATTATTGAAAATTTTAAAAAAGTATCATATATTAGTAAATCATCACATATATAATAGCTAATTTATCTAAGAATTACTTCAGAAAACCAAAAGTAGAGTAACAAAGGCATATTATAATTAATCAAAATGACTAATATATTAAATAAAAGTAACACTAATTTTGCTTAATCAATAGTAGATATTACAGTAATCATCTCATATAATATAATAAATTAAAATAAAATTAATTTTAATTCCCATTATATTTAGTTAGGCCTAGTTTGGAAAGACTAAATAAGTGCACTTTTTGACTTTTTTTGTATTATGTGTAGAAAAAGTAGAGAGGAGATGTTGATTGATGTGACCCAAAAAAGATAAAAAGATGAAATAAGTGCACTTTTTTCTTTGTAGCCAAACTTGGCCTTAGTGGGTGGTTAAAATTTTTTACATGTTATTTGTTTTTTCGTTATATTGATTCATTAAACACAAATAGGTTTGGAATGATTATAAAAAAAATTATAAAAAAAATGTTCTGAATTGACAAACATAAAGAATATAAATATTTAAATTATTCAAAAAAAAATTAACATTTTAAATATGAGATATCTTCCATTTGCTCAAACTCTGAATCTAAATAAATAAATAAAAAATTTAAACAAAGAAGAAATTTGTGGTTTAGTTCTCAAAGGAAATGAGTTACTAAAAATAAATTTAATCATGAATTATTTCAATAGGATAATCAACAATAAAAAATCAACTGATGAATACATTTAAAGTATAACCCATATCCAATAAATATTTGATTCTTCATTTTCAATCTAACATCTACACCAAAAAAAAAAATTAAACACAAATAATCAATAAGTGAGAGAGTCAAAAATTGATAATAGCAATGCTTTTATAAATATAAAAAAAAGAATAAAATCTCAATTAAATGACAAATTATTAACAAAAAGAAAGAAAATAAGGAAAAATACAGATTGTAACCAAAAAAAAAATTAAAATAATAATGTTCATTTATATGAACTCACTTTCTTACAAATGCAAAAACTCCATGCAAGTACACATTTCAAATGTAAAGCAAATATTTAAGATTTTATAGGCACCGAAAAGGGATCAGAAATGGCTCAATGTTGATTGTTTCCCCCCAATTTTCTGTTCATGTTTCTTTGCAGGAACTTATTTTTATATTAAAAAGATTATGTTTAAACAAAAGATATATATGGAATTCTATCATGTTTAAAATTTGTATGGATAAGTAATTGATGATTTTAAAAGATAAAATATTAAGTTCCACTTAAAGATAAATTTTAAAAAGATTAAGTTGAAATATATCTATAAAAAACTAACAAAGATAATATATGATCGTTAAAAAAATTATCATCTTTTTGGGATATTTATATCCCAATCTTATTTCTTTTTTATTTAAATATTTTGTTATCTTTTATTTGAATTTCATTAAAATGTATATTTTTATTTTTGTATATTTTTTCATCTATATTTATTTGTGATTCATATATACATAATTACCTTTTATCTTAAAAATCATTTGACTCGTAATATTTTTTATTTAAATTTTTTTAATTGTTCATATATAAATAGTTAACTTTTTATTTTTATAATTAATTGACTCGTAATATTTTTTATTTATTTATTTATTTTTATCTTTATATTGACTCTTTATATTATTTTGTAGGTGAAATTTGAATAGTTATCTTTTATTTTTTATTTTTAGATTATGTTTAAACAAAAGATATATATGGAATTCTATCATGTTTAAAATTTGTGTGGATAAGTAATTGATGATTTTAAAAGATTAAAAAGATTAAGTTGAAAATATAGAAAATTCTATAACAAACTAACAAAAGATAAATATAGATCGTTAAAAAAATTATCATCTTTTTGGGATATTTATATCCCAATCTTATTCTTTTTTTTTATTTAAATATTTTGTTATCTTTATTTTGAATTTTCATTAAATAGTTTATTTATTTTTGTATATTTTTTCATCTATATTTATTTTATTATTATTATACAAATTACCTTTTATTTTAAAAATCATTTGACTCGAAATATTTTTTTATTTAAATTTTTTTATATCCCAATCTTATTCTTTTTTTTTATTTAAATATTTTGTTATCTTTTATTTGAATTTTCATTAATTAGTTATATTTTTATTTTTGTATATTTTTTCATCTATATTTTTTTTTTTATTCATATATACATAATTACCTTTTTATTTTAAAAATCATTTGACTCGAAATATTTTTTTATTTAAATTTTTTTTAATTGTTCATATATAAATAGTTAACTTTTTTATTTATAATTAATTAACTCGTAATATTTTTTTTTATTTATTTATTTATATCTTTATTTGACTCTTAATTATTTTGTAGTTGAAATTTGAATAGTTATCTTTATTTTATTTATTTTATATTTTATCTCTACTCTTTGTTGCTCATATTTAAAATTTATCATTTATTTTAATTATATATATATCCTTTGGCTTTGAAATTAAGATAATTGATCAAATGATTAAATAATTATTAGAAAAGTGGGAGGGAGAATTGAAAAGTGACACATAGGAGAGAGAATCATAAGAATTTAGTATTAAGAGTTTGGAGAATTCTCATACTCACTACATTGTGTAATATATAGTATAGATAGATAGATATAGTATAGATTTCCAGTAACAACAAAACCAAAAAAAAAAAAGGCATATGTGCATTGAGTTATTTTTTCTATCTTTCGTGAGAGCCCGGAGGCCGTGTGCAAGATTGGTTCCGAGAGCGTGTGCTTCTGTGGCAGGCGATATGTGGGCGTAGCCGGGAATGGTTGGGC